GATGATGATAGTTTGAATATTCTTATTAGAACCCATGTAACAAAGATGAGTTTGGATTTTGTCCAAACACAAGTATGAGAATCTGTTTTTGTAACAAATCACAAGTGAACAACAGGTGTTTCTTATGCATTGAACCCATGTGGCATGTGGGCCCCATGCATACGAAATACCAGCATATTGATTTGTAATTCGCACATAGCCAAGTTCACACACTTGAATTTATAACTGATCCTATGTATTTTGATGATAACAACCTCATTGTGAGTACTAATGGTTTTACTAAGTATGCAACTATCTTATGAAAATCTCCTTTGATCCTAAGTTGAATGAAAGCTAGAAATGTAACAAAGATGAAGAAGTGGAAACTTTGTTGAATCTACTACTTAGGCATAATGGTTTCATCACCATCACCAAATCGCTTCAACTGAGGAAGTTCTAACAAATCAAACATGAGAAGGCTACTAAAAAACTAAAAGATTTAGAGTTACTCTAATTGATCATTTACTACAACAACTCATCAAAGAAAAGACTATGAAGGCACTTGGCAAGCATACTAGTTGATCCCTCCCACATCATCCAATAAAATTTCAACTAAAGAATCCCCCGTTTTCCCTCCATCGCATTAAGATTTTATTTTAAGCTCCAAATTAACTGAATCACTACCCCTCCAGATCTGTCTAATCCAAGCCCATTTGGCTCAATCCGACCCCACAAGTCAGTCCCATAATGCTCAAAATCCCCACCTTGACAAATTTCAACTAAAGATGCCCTCATTTCCCTTAATCACACCAAGATTCTATTTCAAAGCTTTGGATTGACCAAACCACTCCCCTATCCAGATTTGCCTGATCTAGGCCCAATTGGACCAATATGACCCTACCAATCGATTCAGAATGTGCGAAAACCCCATCCTACCAAACTTCAACCAAAAATACCCCTGATTACCCACTCATCTAACAAGATTCAATTTCGGTCATTCTTATTGATCCATATACATAAAACCATTATGTATTCTCAGACTAATCTTAGCCCTTCATACTTTGACCCAAAAACCCCACCATTGGAGTGGAATATTGGTTTGACCAAAAATTCCCAAAATTACTAAAATGCCCCTAAACTTCCTTGAAATTTCCAAAATACCTTCATCGTAAATATAAATATAACCTAAGTTTTTTTCATTTCAAATAATCTACAATTCATCCTCCCCTCCTTTTCAACAAACGACGAAATGGTGTGCCTTCGATCTCCCCTCTCTAGTTTTTCTCTTTTATTTTTTCTCTCCCTCTCTTTTCTCGATCCCCACTGTCCTCTCTCTCTCCCATGGAATATAGGAGAGTATAGGAGTAATGACCCAAAACACCCTATTCATCTTCTTCATAGTGGCAATGAACACAATTCTGAGTTCTGACACAATAACAACGACGACTCCATCTGAGCTCTCTCTCTCTCTCCCTTTGTTTTTGTCAACTTATCTTCTTTCCTTTTATGTCATTTTCAGCCTCACCTCGGTCCTCTCCCGCCGCTGTAATTTAATGCTGCGTCAAGGTTGAACCCAACCACCTAAACGCGGTGAAGAATGATGACATGAAAAATGAGAAGAACATGATGAAAAACTTGAACACAATTAACGAGTCTCAATTAGTACTTGTGAGAAGAAGAAGAAGAAAAGGAGGAGAAAAAGAATATACCTTGGGACAGAGGTCTTCTCTCAAATTTTTGTCAAAAGCATCGAAAAGTTGAGAAGCCCAAATAGACCATAAGCTCAAAGCTTCTCAGATCTAGACCACTTTGATCTTTTAGGGTCTTTTTTTGGAATTTGTCTTTCGGTCTAAACGGCTTTCACTAGCCAAACAGAAAAAAAAAAAAAAAAAAAAAACTATTTTTGGTCTATTAGGCTTCTAAAAGCCCAAAAGATCTTTTAAAAAGACTTTAAACAGGGCCTACATTAAATTGTGCAAAACTGTGTCAATCTTTAGGAACTTGAGGTAATAAATTGTTTAGATTAAGGCTGCAACCTGGGCCGGGTTGGCCCAAACCCAACCCGAAAAAATTGGGTTGGGTTGGGTCGGGTTGATGTTCGGGTTAGGGTTAGGGTTGAAATTCATGAACCCAACTTTACTTCAGGTTGGGTTAGGGTTGACCCCTTAGCCAACCCGACCCAACCCGAACCTGACTCTATAATACATGTCATATAAATATATGTTATATGTAAGATATAACATACATTGATTTGTTTAGATGCATGATATTTGTATACCCCCCACCACATAGTATCATGTATTTCTTTTAAAATAATCACTTCACTTAATCCTAATCAGAAAGATTAAAACCTTAATAACATTATGTTATGTTTTTTGAAAATTTTATTCTTCATCTCCTCTATGTTGTTTGCCGCCCAAGAAAGATCTATCGCAAGTCATAACTCATAATAAACTATAGTCATTTCTAACACATGTTTTCTGAATTTTGTACTAAAAGAACAAAAAAAAATAACGTCAACAAACAAATACTAATGAAACATAGGATTAATATATGTAGTGAAAGTTGAGTTAAGATCTAAAATTGAAAAATTGTATGAGGTTTTAAAGGATGTGAAGAAGGTTGGGTTTGACTTCGGGTTGGGTTGGGTTAGGGTTGAAGGAATTTAGTTACGGTTAGGGTTGGGGTTGGGTTGGTCGGGTTGAAGGTCGGGTTGGGTTAGGATTAGGGTTGGGCTAGGGTTGGCCTCAACCCGACCTAACTTGGCCCGACTTGCAGCCCTAGTTTAGATACACTCTTTTTATGCTCAACAAGATTGAACTCAAAATGGTAACTTTAGAGACCAGATGGTCAGAATAGGTTTAGTTCCTAGACTTTCCTAGAAGACATCCCAAACCTTTTAATGAAATTTCCAAAGTCTCCAAGTGTTGGGTTGTTTGATAGGCAACATTGCCAAGGCTCTGTAATATAGTTAACTACCCAAAAATGTATAATCAACTAATTGTGACGGGAGGCATGAACTATCAAGGCATAGTTGACTACCCCAAAAGGCATAGCCGACTACCTATGATAGTCAAGGCATAAAAATGCCTTGTTGGAGAGACAAACTTGCCCTTATTGGGGTTCTGATCCACCATGCCCCTGGTCAGGGTAGGTTTTTTAAATGTTGAGTGGGTTCACGGAAACCCAAAGTTTTGGTGACCAGGGACGGCCGAACGGGGGCGGGTGGTATTTATCCACCCCACCATAGCCTTAGCCTCGAACCTAACCCAATTAAAAATATTATATATACATATATAAAACAAATCATCAATAAACCCATTAAGAAATAAAGATATAAAGACTTCCAAAATTTATAAAAAATATAGCATTAATAAAATTTATAATATATAATATATTAAGAGAATTTTGAATAGAAGCTAGAAAGGCGAAGGCAAGGCTAGTTTACATTAAACAGCGAGTAAAATTTATAAAAAATATAGCATAATAAAATTTATAATATATAATATATTAAGAGAATTTTGAATAGAAGCTAGAAAGGCGAAGGCAAGGCTAGTTTACATTAAACAGCGAGTAAAATTTATAAAAAATATAGCATAATAAAATTTATAATATATAATATATTAAGAGAATTTTGAATAGAAGCTAGAAAGGCGAAGGCAAGGCTAGTTTACATTAAACAGCGAGGCAGGTAGGTGGGGCAAATTCGGGGATCCCCATTCCCTGCAATGATAGGGATGGGGTTGGGATTTCTAGCCATGACAATGTATAGGGCAAGGCTAGGGTGGCGTACATAAGTTCCAACTTCCAAGGACGGGATATACACAAACCGGCCCTAGCCCACCCTATTGCCATTCCTAGACTTGGGTCCCACCCCTTCCACAGGCTCCCTCCATTATTAGCCTATTGTATTGGGAGAGAGAGAGAGAGAATTTTACTCTCATTCCAATTCTATTTAATTGATTAATTATCATAAAACCATAAAAATAATAAAAATAAACTGTTTTCATTCCATATAAAAATAATAATGGATCAATTGGAATCGTCATAAGGGGGATGATCAATAATGACCTAGCCTAGCTCAAGATCAATTTTTTTATTTGGTAAAAATCTCGAGATCAGCTTAACCTATTCTTCCACTTAAATTTCATAAACTACTTAAAAAAAAATTACCAACACCCCTCTATGGAGATTAAATTTTGGGGTTAAAAAATAAGAAAAGAATATAAAAAATGAACTTGATAAACTAAGATGACCCAAATCAGGAAGCCTTCAAATGTTAAAGCAAAAAGAAAGAATGGATCGGATGATGTGAAATAGATGTCAAATGCTTTAGACAGATTGAAAAGGGAATTTATATGCTAGCAACGTAGATGAGATATAGAGATGATTAAGTTAATGAACAATGTATTCTGACTTCCAATTACTCTATTCTGAGAGCAACTGTCATAGCTCCTAATAAATGGATCAGTATAACTTAAATTTTAAAAACTTTGAATTCAAATGCGCTGAAAATGCTGAATTTAGACTTTTTGCCTTGGTCTAATTTTGGTTTTGTATTTTTTTTTTTCATACTGGCTTTTCATACAATATGATGAACTTGCACATGCCCACTACAATTCTATAGAAAATGACGTTGGTTTTAAAGCAAATGGTGCATTTTTGCATGCAGAATACTAGTTGTGACCCTGTGACACCTCAAAATAATCAGACTAGGTCAGTTAAACTTCAGTTCTCTGACGGCAAACTCTGCATAGACTGTTAACGTTAACATTCAACCCAGCAATTTTCAAAGCATTAAATGTTGATTGACTAATAAAAGATAAGACTACAGGAGAGAGATTTCTGAGTGGAGGAATACTCGACATTGTATCAGTTGAGAGAGACCCGTCAATAAATTTTTCATAACACGTTCGTTGGTAGACTTGTTCAATCAGCAGAATTTTGGACCCGTAATGTAAATTGAAATATTGAACACGTGAAAAATCTTTAAACTATAAAACATCTTAACCAAAAGTGGATAAAATATAATGTTTGGCTAAGAAATGTATGAGAAGCTTCTGATCAAGCCATTACATAACTTATGAATCGAGTACTGTCATCCAAAATTGTAGATTACGAATTACAGAGGAAAGAAAATAAGCATATCCTAGCTTGGTACATTCAATCTGAAAAATGATCCAGGCTACATGAAAAGAATGAAGTAAATCTGAGAACTTTGAGTTTCCTCAGTATGAATGTACGATTAAATTCATGATGAAGCAAAGTGAATTGCAAATCAACACAGAAAAATGATGTCATCCAAGTACAATTTAATACAGCATCCACCATAAAGATGGTTCAATGGACTTCAAGAAGGACAATGGGATTGAAAGAATTTATATGGCTCCCTAGGGGCTTAATATGTGAAGGAACTGATTATTTCATTGGTCAATAATCTACATTAAAGAATGTAGCAGCCGCAAACATCATCATTATAATGATCTCCCCAATCAACTTTAATTCAAAAGTTTAGTGGTAATGAGTACCAGGTGGATCACCCTAACTTTTAGAACCTATGCTGTTGACATGGAAACTGGGATTGAAAAAAAAAACGTGTTAAAACACATCAAAATAAATGATTGTGAAATGATCAGTCTGAATTTCACGTATTACCACAATTCCCATATGACTGTTAGGCAAGCTCTTGCAGCTGGAAGTTGTAAGAAGAGAAAATATGATCTAGATCCACCTTTGAGTTTCACTTTTACCCACACGCATCTGAATTTACTGGAACAGATGATAGAATCATACTCAGGAAGGATGATAAAATCAAGATAATGATATTTGTAATTTTAAATGCATGATCCATGATGCAGAGGATGCACAGAGTTTAATTGAGAGGAGGAAACATATGTCTCACAACAAGAATAAATTGCTAAATATACATAAACAGCTTATAGAAGAAAATCTCAATTCTATGAGTCTATCCATGTTTGTAAGCATAGGGATCCCAAAGTTAGAAAATTTGCAATATTTATATTAAGTCAGAAAAAGTTTAAATATGTGACTGGGTGACATGATTAGATCAACTCATGAGGTCAACTCAAATTGACTCAACCTATCAGGGCAATTCAATCTCAGCTTTGGACATTAAACGTTCTCGAAGCATACATATGTTGGATAATGTCCAATTATTGTTGAAATAGCAGCATTTGTTGGCATGATCTCAAAATATCCATGAAACCATGAAATTTTTGATAGATTGGAGATGGGATTTTATAGATAATAAAAGAACATCAAATATAGGGGTCATTGCTTGGTGTGATCGCAAAATCTCAGCCCAACAAGCATGAAATTTTTGTCTGAGAGCAGCCACTTTACACAAAAAGTGACAAACGTAAGGTCTCTATCCTGTCCACCCATCCCAAGACCCTAGAGATAGCTGAGAAAACATGGGTCATGGCCTTCTTAAAGAATGTTAAATATCAAGGATTCACCCATAATACTGTAGATAATTTCCCAAGAGGATAAGGTTAACATGTAGCTGAACCTTCCACTAAATTTCATATTGTTGAGGTTCATCCACAATTGCTGAACTTGGCGATTGTGGCTAGGGGACCCTTTATCCCCATACCTATTTATCATTGCAGAAGAGGTTTTGAGCAGAGGCCCTTAGTCTTTGATGATCAATAACCAGGTGAAATGTTACCAAGGGGCTGCTGCAACATTTCCCACTCCTTATATGCTGTTGACACAATTATATTTACAAGGGATGAGAAGAGAACACTCTCTAGAGTCATGGATTTCATCAAGAAATATGAGGCAGCTTCACGTCAATTAGTTAATAGAAACATAAGAGGTTTCTGTGTCAAAACAGCTTAGTCCCACAAGAATTCAAATCAGCAAGAGGTGCATGGGTTTTACTAAAAAGCACTTTCCTTTTGTATATTTGTGGGTCCCGATTTGTAAGAATCGCTAAGTGATGCTGTTTATGACCTCATCTGAAGGATATCCACTCGTATTGCTGGTTGGAAGAGCAAATTTCTTTCTTTTAGTGTGAAAGCTTACCATGATTAGAAATGTGTTGGCAAGCATTCCCATACACCTCCTTTCAGCTGTTTCTACTCCAAAGAAAGTTTTTAAACTGATAGAAATCTTATCTAGTAATTTCCTATGGTCTTGTATAGACAGTCAGAATAAGTTTCACTGGGTGTCTTGGAGAAAAACATGTATGCCCTTTGGTGAAGGAGTATTGAATATAAGAAGCATCCAGGGCATGGATAATGTGTTGCATACCAAAGCTCTTTGGAATGCTTTCTCAGTCATTCTCTTTGGGCCCGCTTGTTCAGATCAAAATGCTTGAAAATGGACATATGGAAGTGACTGAGGCAAGCAATTTTATCTCTAAAACCTGTAACACAATTTTGAGTTTTTTCTGACTTTATTTTGAAGAATTCTTTCTGGTTAGTTGGTCAGGGTGATGTCTTCTTTTGGCTTGATATGTGGCTGGGTTAGGAACCTTTGGTTAATTATGCAAAGTCTGGAGCCACTATTGAAACTAAGGGTCCATTTGGTTCGCAGTTGGAATCAGAATCAGAATGGTCTATTCCTCACACCTTTTTGGTTCAGACAGGAATCAGAATTGGCTGGAATGGATTTTCATTCCCAAGGGAGGGGGAGGGAATGGCCATTCCCTCAAATGGGGCAATGTGGTAGGAACTGCCTACCACAGGTGCCCCTTCGAGGGTGACACAACCTCCTAAGTGAAGAAGAAAAGGATAGTTAATTCTTTCATATCGAAATCCATAGACCAGGTCCTTTATATAGAGGCCTGAGACTCTCAATAGACTCTGAGCATTCGGATGTTCTTGGATATTATTCTGGTAGAATAATCACTGATTGCTCGAGTGAATATTCCCATTCCTAACGGCATCTGATAGGTTGGTTTGCCAACGTGGCCTTTTGGCATAAACTCGAGCTATGATGGGTCGATCCACTACCTGGGGTGGTGGATTGGACTGACCTCCTATGACTGTTCCTTTGGAGCCCATGGTGGGTTGGGTCCAAACAGCTCCGCCCCCCTTAGGTTGGACCTTGCCTGACCGTGCCTGTCTGTTGAAGCTTATCTCGGGTCTCATTGTGATCCTCAGACCCAGTTGATCCAAGTCGGACACACATGGCGTCTATGAACTCTCTCCAAGTCGCTTGGGGGTATGATAAGTGAAACTATTGGAACCATATCATAACCTCTCCCTCCAGGTGGATGGAGGCTATTGCAATCCTTTGGTCACCGTGGATTCCATAGTAGTCAAAATAGCACTCAGCCTTATATATTCAAGGTATCGGTTCATCACCTACGAACGTTAAGAAGTTCAGCTTAGCGATCCTTCCAGTTGAGAGCTCCATCCAACGATCCCCTTTGTGGCTGGAACCTTCCTGCACCGGTTCCCTGTAATAGGACAGCGTAAACTTTTCACAATGACCACCGCCGCTAACATTTCCCTCATCTCTCCCGCGAGCTGCTACAAGTCTGAATCCATCTTCTTGACTCGCTCTTCCATGGCCGATGATCGGGTGCTTGGCATTGTTGAGACTAGTGCTGGCTCTGATACCAAATGGTAGGAACTGCCTACCACAGGTGCCCCTTCATGGGTGACACAACAGTTAATTCTTTAAGACTAGGTCCTTTATATAAAGGAGGCCTGAGACTCTCAACAGACTCTGACCATTTGGTTATTCATGGATATTATTTTGGTAGAATAATCACTAGGTGCTCGAGTGAATATTCCCTTTCCTAATGGTATCTAACAGGTTAGTTTGCTGACATGGCCTTTTGGCATAAACTCAAGCTATGATGGGCCGATCCACTACTTGGGGTGGTGGGTTGGACTGGCCTCCTGCGACTGTTCCTTTAGAGCCCATGCTGGGCTGGGTCCTAACAGAATGTCATTCAACTAGGAATTGGAATGGATTTATATTCAGATTAAAGGAGGTTCTACAAAGCCAGGTACTTCAAATTTGGCCTTCCTAAGGGAGCAGCTTGTCGAAGAGAAAATTAATGATATTTTAGCATCTAATGTTTTTCCTCTCAGGTGAGTAGGATAAGGTGATCTGGAAGGGCTCCTCTAGTGGATGCTCTACTGTCAAAGGGGTGTGGTGTGGAATACAATTAGAACTCGTGGCCCTGAGATGGAAGGTTGGAACTTGGAAGGAGATATAGGATTCCTCAATTCTGCCAAAGATTAGTTTTAGTGTTTGGTGAGTTCTCTGGAATGGGATACCAGTGCAATAGAATATCCCAAATATTGGAATTTAGTTTGCATCGAAATGTGTTTGTTGTAAATCTCCTGCTATTGAATCGGTGAATCATTTATTTACTGAAGGTGTTTTGGCAAGAAAGGTTTAGGCTGATAGCCAATGCCAAAATATTTCCCTTTTTCTCAAATGAGAACATCTACCAATGCATCAGTCAGTGGCAGGCCATAGCCAAAATGCTAGAAGGCAATGGACATGGGTTGTTGGAATGCTACCATGTTTTATTATATGGGAATTATGGAAGGAGCATTGTAGAATTATGGAAGGAACCTATACAAGTTCAGCTAGAATTCTTGCAAGGATTATTAGTTGGATTTGGGAAATTGGGTGTGCCAAGGAGTAGGATGGAATGTGCGGCCCTATAGAGATCTCAGCCATCTTCGTGATATTCCCATTCAACAAATTAAACCTAGGAGAGTGCTTCTTGTCTACCTAATTAACCCTTCTAGGGGTGAATGGATCTTGAACGTGGATGAAGCTTGTAGGGGTAATCCGAGTGAGGCTGGTGGTGGCGGTTTCATTTCTGATCCTTCCAACCAGGTGAAGCTTTATTTTGCTCATTTGTTTGGGACCTCAACAAACATGGTGGCTGAATGTAGAGCTCTCATGGAATTTTCATCAAAAAATAAAAATGTAGAGCTCTCATGGATGGTGTCACCTTCACATGTAGACTTAACTGCTCTTCACTGCTTATTGTCTTGGATAGAAAACTTTTTTTGAAAGATAAAGTTAAAAGATTTCATCAAATAAAAAAAAAAAATTGCAGGAGGGTGTTAATATAATACCAAAGAGAAGAAGATAAACCCCTAAAATACAACTAGCATCACCTGGAACCAACATCAACAAAACCACAAAAAGAAACCATTCACACTCAGACCATACAAAACCTACACAAGATTGGGAAACCAACTCAAGACGACAAGCCACAGACATCCACAAAGCCTACAACAAACTCAAACATCGAGATAGCCCCGACCAAAAAACCTAATTAATCATCCCCTTCAAACACTTCCTCCTGCTTATCATCGTCTACATTCCAGCTCTCTCCACCTTCCCCTACTTTGACTTTCTCCATCCTCTCCTCCCTCCTCTTTTCAAACTCCTTGAAAGCTCTCCTAGCAAATGTCTCCCTGCCCCAAAATAACAGCCCAAGCCCTTTTCTGACCTGGATATCTCTATTAACGATTTCCTCAACAGGCACACTTCCTAACCTCTCAGCATTGCCATCTGGACGGACGTCCTGCATTTCCATCAAAGGTTTAGATCCCTTCCTCTATAGCCTTCTCAAGACTAATGACTTGAAGATACTAGTTGATGTATTGAACAAGATTACTAATGAACCATGGCCTCTTTGTTGTTGGTTGAGGCTCATCCACCAATTACTCCCCTTTGTTTTTTTCTCAGCTCATCACATCTAGGGTAATAGAGTGGAAGATGCCCTGGACAACATGGGTTCTGATCAA